ATTTTGGTCTTACAAATCAATTTTACCTTATAGTTTCATTGGTAACGAAACCATAGCTCGATTTTAATTGCGACAACGCCATCTATCGAGCTATGAGACAACTTTGAACAATAATATTTTTTAACATCAACAATAAGTTTGGTCTTGAACACACTTCAAATGACAAATGGATAGAATAGACCAATTAGAACTAAATTAAAGTACAGTAAGATTTAAAATTGTAATATTATCCTCTTGCCTGTTGAAAGTTGCGGGTATTTATGTGTTCTAAACCGGGAGCTGGTGTTTTAACAGATAAAAAGAAGACTGTTAGTTGTAGACAAGGTAGAGAACAGTATGTAAAATGATCGGACAAATACGAAATTGAATCTGGATAAAGCGAATATGACTCGACAACCCTGTCTTTTTAAAACTTTTAATGTTGAGGACACGAATGAAATTAATCGGCTTCTTGATGATGATGATGATGATGATATAAAAGTTAATCCAAAAGAAGAAGAATATCCCTTCTCAGAAGTTATAATCTTTTTACCTTTACCTGGAATAACTAACACAATGAAGAGCAGTACAGGAAAAGGAAGTATTAAAACCTAGAACATATAAAACATGTCCAATAAGGATGCTAAATAGCTGTTAATCGCAGCCTAGTAGTAATCTGTTAGTATAAATAGGATATTACATCAAAGGAACCTGATACATGTTATTGCTAAACTAGACTGTAAGAAGGAAAAATAGGGTTTCATATCCTGCATCTTGATGTAATTTGGTTCCCATACGTAGCGTATTTTTACTCTCTATCTATGTACTCTAAATAGAAATAGTCTTTGGAATATTTTTATTACAGATTATATCAGATTTAGCACAAATAAAATAATATGGTACACGATATATTCAAGGGTGGCAGAGCTATCCTTCGACACGAATGGGCCGGCTCGGCCGGAATGATACCACGGGGTCACAAAAACCGACGTGAAACAACACTTGTTTTGTGTTTTGTCGTCTGACTGAGTTTACCAGACGCTCACTTACCCAAATCTTCAAATTCCTAATTCCTAGGCCAGTAGCGCACTAGGCTCTGGTGTTTCAGGTGTCCATAAGTGGCGGCGATTGTTTATTATCAGGTGATCCGTCTGCTAGTTTACCGGGTTACCCCATAAAAATGCTCACCTATTATCATAATATGTTCCACTTAAATGTGAAAAACTGTG